TGGAGCTAAGACTGAATGTGTTTCAGCATAGATGGCCACCACAAAATTGTATATTGGCTCCTGGATGGCCTGGGCCAGGGCCAAGGCAGCGGGGGCCGTTCCCTCACTGTTTCCAGGATGGCTTCGCGGGCCACATGAAACCACTTCGCAGGCTGCATCTGGCCCCCAGGCCTTGTGTTTGACATGTCTGCATTAAAGTAAGAACAGACCAAATCAAGTCCAGTTTCTGCCATGGAAATTTCCAGGGTGACTCTCACAGCAACTCCGCTTCATTCAAGTGGATGTTGTGAGGATAAAGGGTAGATTCCCACATAAACCATCTCAAGAAAAGGGAGAAAGTTGGAAATAAATTTGATCAGGACTTTCTTCTTGGGCGTAGGAATTCCCAGCACCCGTTTATTAAAAATTTTATTTGCAGACTGTTGATTATCTAATCTACATAACAGTCCTCTAGCTCCTTTGGTATTGTAGCTAAAGAGCTACCATAACAAAGGAGTAGAGGACTGCTATGTGGATTAGGTGATTAACGGTCTGCAAATGTTTAGCTACCATACCAAAGCAGCTAGAGGATCGTTACATGGATTAGATGATCAACAATCTGCAAATGAAATTTTCAATAAATGATGCTGGGAGTTCCCATGCCTAAGAAGAAAGTCCTGATCAGAAATTATGCGGAACAGAAGCCTTGTATTGTTTCTCAAGTCTTTAGGAAGGGTCTGATTTTCAGGAATATAAATGGCTCTTTCTCAGATATATTGTAGATAATCTTGATTAAGACCTTCTGCACAGTTGATGGAAGGAATTTGGCTCTAGTTCCTCTATATAAATCTATACAATTCTATACAATTCTCATGACTGTATAAACTGAAACTTAGAGGCTTCCAGAAGAGGAAATCACAAAGGAATCAGGCAAGGTCATGGCTAGTGTGTAGCCTCTTTTGGGAACAGAACCATGTGTTTGATTACAGAAGTCATTAAAGCTGGACTTTTTTCAGGGTAAAATAGAGCAGGGCCCAACATGTCAGCTTCCACTGTGAAGTTTCAGTCTTCAAGTAAAATAGTGTATTATTTGTATATGACATCCCTATTCCACATGGATGCAAAAATCAAGTTGTTTCTTTTTGAGACATAGAATAATGTCCATAACACATGTACCAAATTTAACTCTAATACCTCAGTTTTCAACTGGCAAACACATTTAGCAAAGGAATGTTGAACAGGGCTGAATTCCTTTACTAATCAATTTAAGCACAGAACATGGTTCCTATGATTCAGAACAGGTTGAGTTTTGAATACAAAAGTGGCTTTCTTACTCTCACATCTCCAACCAAGCTCAAATTATACATATGCGCAGCTTCAGAAAAAAATATATTGAAACGTGTGCTGTGATCTCTAATCTCAAATAGTCTATCCTCCACTATATCTAAGCTCTAAGTAGTCTTAAGAGGACAAGGGGTGGGTGGGAAGCAGCTAGCGGTTTCTTGAACCAATTGGCAACTACAGACTCAGTCTCTATATTGAAAAAAGGTTTTCATATGGATTCACTTACAAAGACTTTTTTTTCCCTACTTCGGCCAATTGTGTTGCAACTGGCTTTAGAAAGAGACATATGTAGTTCTTTTCCAATGCTTGATGCTCTACACATGAGAAAATAGAGCTGGTTTGAACCATAAGGGGATGTGTGAACTACTTGCATATTTTGCAACCTCCAGCATTTTAGATTTAGTCAGATGCAAAGACTTCACACAAATCTTGCAGCGATTCAACATGGTGAATAAAGAGTCTATATTGTATGCAACTGTAAATTAAATTAATTATATGTTGGAGAAACTTACGTCCAAATCATACAGATTGCTCTTCTGATACAGTCATTTTTTATTATCAGGACTGTGATATATTGATGCTATTATCTGGTCCTAAGAAAAACACATGTGGTATTTCAACCACAGAATAAAAAAAATACTCTGCTGTAGAGTGTTTCAGGGCTCAATATTTTGTATGGTTTCTTTAAAACTACTCACAATTTATCTTCATCTGTGCATCTCTGGAAAGACGCAGCTGCTTCAACAGTTGGCAAAGAAACAGTTTACAGTATGTGCCCTCCTGAATGCTGAAATATCTGTTAAAAGATTTGCACAGTCCTGCTCTGCGGTGCAGACATAACATTTTATATCTGACCTCTTGCAGCCTGGTTAAGGGTTAGGAAAGAAAGACAACAGGTGCCCTGACTTGTATGCCATGGGTCTTTGATAGATTCCTAGTAATCCCCTAAAGGATTACTTTAGGGTCTTTGATAGATTCCTAGTAATCCCCTAAACAGGATGCTGCCATCATGGAGGCTTGTGAGATTAGGAAAAATGCTCTCCCTTCTGCTCCCAGAGAAAGGAGTCCTGTTTCGCCCTTCTGGACAGAATTGCATGCAGATTATTAACAAGTGTTGTTTGTACTTCAGATGGAATCTCCATGCCTTGGGTAATAAACTCACATATGTAGTAGAATGGAAACATTGCTGGCAATTCAAATATTTCATAGACTGGAAATGTTTCAAAATCCAGAAGGTTCATATTATTTCCTCTGCTATTAAAGCAGTTTAACAACAATGTAGATGAGAAGACATAAACTACTACTTAAATTGTGAAACTGGTGTAGGCTGAGAGTGATTTTTTTTTTAAAGAAGCACACTTATTATCTGACCTTTTTGCCACTGGCCTTTACTGGCAGTTATTTTTGTTAAAAAATGCAGGGCCACCAACCTTATCTATTGACTACATGAATATACATTATTGGCAAAGTTCACAAGTTCAAATTGATATGATTTAATATTTTACTGTCATCTTTTTTTTTAAAAGTACTCTGTTGCAATTTGTAAATGCACTTTACTTAAAAGTTGTAAGTCTAATCATTCTCTAGTTAAGTTTCATTCTGTGTGTGCCTATGGCTGTATGTGTATTTCTGCATGGTAAAAGAGATAGATTTTGATATATCTTGTACTTTTTAAAATAGCTAATTATTCCTCTGCTCAAATTTTCAGGTTAGCCAGATCCATTTTATTTACAGTTGTAAACCATCTGATTTGCGTGATTTTATTTCTCTGCATGTGGCCAAGTTTTGTTTTACTGTTTATAAAATATGCCACAGTTTGACCACATGAGTGTTATATTTAAATTTTACTGTGGTTTTTATTTGCTGTCTCAGATGTGGTTTGATTTTTGTTTCTAAATTGGTCAATAGTTATAATAAAGTTTACTACTATTATAACTACTGCTGCTAGAGCAGCAGCAAATGTTAGATAGTTCTTAGGAAATAATGAGAGCCTGGATCTGAAAAATTATATCATGTTAAGATGTTTGACAGAGAAAATAACTGCATATTAAAATGATGGTGAACAAGAGCAGTAGAATATTCTATTCATCTTTGCCTTGTATTTACTAACAATGGTAAAGTCGATGCAGCCATTTCAAAGTGTGTACACACTGGTAACATTTAGGTTTATTGCAAGTAGTTAATATTTGTCCAAATACAGGCGATAGGTTCAATGGTTGCTGAATGAATATGAATTGAATACAAAACTGAGTGACTAATAATGAAGGAGATATTTAGGGATGATTTGGTCATATACAGTAGATGACATAAAAGAATATTGAACTGCAGAATAAACATATGAGGTGAAGAGAAAGGGGGAAACTGAAGAAATTGTAGCTGGATAGAATTAGTAAACTCCTTGGAGAAGTGATAAGTTTCAGGAACAAAAGACAATAGATGAAGCAGTATATACTGTAAGTGCTTTGCAAAGACAGAAAGCTATAGGGAGGCAGAGAGAATAGTGTTAGTGTAGAAATTATTTCCTCTTGTTTTTCTTATCATGTCAAGTTCCGGGGAAATCAGAAGACCAGGCAGTTCAAATGGGTATAAAGATTTCTTGCAAGCTTAAGCTCTCTACGAGAATATGAACTACTAACAGTCAAAGCAAATTGGTGGTATATAAGAGTCAATGGAATTCAAGTGGGCAGGACTTAGATATCTTGTGAGGAACTCATAACTGATGATGCATTTGACCTCTCCCTCAAGCTCAGCTTGGTCATCTCCTACATTTCCTTAGCTTACTATGTCATACCTCTTTTCTGCACTTTGTGTAATGTTGCTTACCCTAAAAGGGAACAATATGATGGATATTTCTGTAAGGATCCTGGGTAGAAACCTTTAGAAAACTAGTTTATATGATCAGTGATGCCCAGCAAACTTCCTGCCATTCCTAATCCTAGTTTGGGTATAAATTAGATATACAGAATATTCAGAAAGAAGATATCTGGATGAACTGAATTTAAGTGAGTCAGCACTCCTGGGGGCCAGGAAGTGGGGCTGAGCCTGAATATTGATGGATGGGTTTATTTTTACCCCGGTTGCTCTTTATGTACATTGATTCTGGGTGTTGGGTTTTTTTTTGTAATTTTTGAAAATTTTGAGCCCCAGTGTCATGAATGGACAGCCATACACACTGAAATATGTGGCTTCCTCTCCCCAGAGATTAGACTGGCCCCCACTTTGACCCTTTTCCATACGGCCCTGAAAATCAGCTTCTGCCAATGTGCCTGGGGAACACAGAGTGGGATGGAGCCCATCAGGTGGCTTGTTGATTGTGTGTTGTTGCCAGGGAGGCGAGTTCATTGTGTTTTATTCTTTTACATTGAGTTTTTATTGTTTGTAAGCTGCCCAGAGTCACTGAGAGTGAGAGGGCAGCCCTATAAATAAATAAAAATAAATAAATAAATAAATCTATATCTGTATTAGAGTAGCTCCATGGTGAGATATGAGGCAAATAAATTTAACAAAGAAATGAATAAATTAGATATAGGCTTGCTGTTTAAAAATAATAGAACACATGATGCCATTCTATGCCATCATGGAATCTTTTTGTCTAACCAGGTTTTAAATGGAATTTCTTTACGTAAAGATGTATTAGTAAGAAATGAGTTAAATAAATCACTTTTTTTCCTTCAAAGGTCCACCAGGAAGAAGAGGAAAGCCTGGACGACGGGGAGAACCAGGTAATTTGCTTGTAGTAATGTTGGTAAATTAAATTATATTCACAAAGTAAAAGGTGAGAAAAATTTCTTCTACAGGTAGTCCTCAGCCTACGACAAAAATTGAGCCCAAAATTTATGTTGCTATGTGAGAAATTTGTTAAGTGAGTTTGCCCCATTTTATGATTTTTCTTGCCACATTTGTTAAGTGAATCACTGCAGTTATTAAATTAGTAACATGGTTGTTAAGTGAATCTGGCTTCCCCATTGGTTTTGCTTGTCAGAAGGTCGCAAAAGAGGATCACGTCATAAATATGAACCAGTTGCCAAGTGCCTGAATTTTGATCACGTGACCATGGGGAAACTGCAACGGACGTAAGTGTGAAAAATGGTCATGTCACATTTTTCAATGCCTTTGTAACTTCAAACGGTCATTAAACGAACTTTTGTAAGCTGAGGACTACCTGTACTTTGTATATAAGTGTGGCTTTCTTTTTAATTCATCTGCTGATTTTTCCTTCCTTGTTTTTAATGGGATAAGCCTATAAATAGTCGTGTACAATAAGGGCTGTGCTACTTCTTTCTTTCTCAGCTGTTACTTTACATCTGAAAACTTTCATTCCTAGACAGCAGTTACTGGTAGCAAGAATAACTTCTTCTGGTTGTAGATTGATGTCATTGGATAGTGACTCACTGAGTGGCTAATTAGGAAGGAGATGCAGTCTAGGAAGAAACAGGAAAAGTGTTGATCCACTTGGGACATGGCCCCAGGTCAAAATACACACACACACACACAAACACACACTTCATGCTGACTTTTAAGAAAAGGAAGCCACACGATGTTGAATGTAACATGTAGTTTAATTCTGAGACTTAAGTAAAATCTGCTCTGTTGCCTGTCAGATATCTGGGCTACTAGGATCTGATACAAACCATGAAACAGACTTCTAATTATTGTTCTCATCCCTTTCACAAAACTTAATCTGCATTGTATTAAGCCACAGCTTACTTCATCATGGTTTGTTGAATAAAGCACAGTTGTTAAGATTCACAGATTGCACAGCCATATGAAGCATGATATATCAATTACAATGACTTGTTTCTTAAAATATGCTAAGCCAAAATTAAAAGCATATTGCATTAAATGGCATGATGTGTGGAAGCAACTCGCATTTCATATAGAAAACAATAACTGTAGACCTGAACAAGCAAACTGAAGAGAAATGGAATACTGGAAGGAGAAATGGGAAAGTGGAAATGATTCTTCTTGTATTGATCAATGATATCTTTTTTATATTTTCTTCATTTTGAAGCATTCCCATTTTCTGCATTAATTTCAGAATGGAATCTTTATTATTCTATCTCGCATGCCTTTTCCAGTGTAACCCTTGTCTGGATCAGATTATGGTTGTCAAATAATTCAGCAAAAATTCCAAGCATCCTTCACAGAGCAAATTTTTTTTCCATCATTTTCATCTATCTTAATTCAATGAAGCGTTCCCTAGAGCTTAGTTTCTTGGGCTTAGGAAGGCACAACTAATGGCTAATGTAAAGATGGGAAATGCAGACACAGGGAGCAGAAAGGGAGATGTGTGTTGCTATAATAAAGAGGCAAATATGCTTAGGCAGAGATAAAGAAAGAAAGAATAAGGCTCTGATACTAAATATCATAACATTGCTCCAAGGCCTCAGAAAGTTTTAAGAGAAAGAAGAGGGACCCTTTTGTTTATTTTTAAATCATTGCAACTTTTCTTATAAGAAAATACCCTTAAAAATATGCAACAAAAAACATTTTGCACCTCTTTCTGTCCAGACAGAAATTCATTAAAATGCAAAGAATGAAAGAAAATGTGAAAGCTTAAAATAAATTGATGCTTTCTTTATAAGTGGGAAGGACGGCTAGTGAAAAGATCTGAGGATGATGTCAGATGAGCTGATGTGTAGAAGAGCTTAATTGTTTTAGCATCAGGGCTTAGGTAAGAGAACTTAGGCTTAGGTTGGAGAAGGAGATGATGAAAACATAAATCAGAGTATTATGTAAGTCAGGAAAGCAAGATGTGCAGCCTCAGTCCGTATAAAGCCCAGTGGGAAGTTGAGTGAGGTTTGCAACAGTTTTGGGTCCCCTAAATCAGTGGTTCTTAACCTGGGCGATATTGCCCCCCAGGGGGCAATGGAACAAAAAGGGGCGACACGGGGGCAAAGGAATGAAAAGGGGGCAATATGGGGGCGATGGAGCGAGAAGTTTTGGGGACACTTTTGAGACTTTTTCATACAGTGAATCGCTGTGTATCTGTCGTACAAAAACATCAGATCACTCGCTATTAGTGGATTGAATTGTGTTTTCAAATGTTCCTCCAGCTAGCTTCAGTACAAAACATATGTGAATACACATCGCTTATCTTCATGCGCGTTGTGTAGCAGCCTCTGCCCATACAGTGGCACGCCATTGGCCAGAATATGGGAGATATGGGAAAAAGACTTGAAATAAATTATTTGCATCAATATGTCCTGATGACAATTTTAAAGAAAACAAAACAAGTGTTTGCATAAATTGAAGAATTATTTCCTATGTTGTGATTGAGAGGTTATGTTGGGGGAGGGGGGCGATGACAACTCCCTCATTGGCTCAAGGGAGCGATTCCTTCAAAAAGGTTAAGAACCACTGCCCTAAATTACTCAGCCTGACTGCTGCCTTCCTACTGTTGCTCTGTCCACACAGGATCCACTGTATTTCCATTCATTCTCTCTATCTTGCTTCATTTGTCCTTCTTTGGCCTCACATTTTTGTTACTGCTCTACGCTTAACAGCTCTTCAGTTCCTCTTTCTGGGGGCCACGTGGGCCTCTCCACATATTTCCCCCACCTTTTGCATAGTTGGTTGTATATCTTTTTGACCATCCAAACTTTGCTGAAGCTTTCCTTCCCCTTCCATACAGTATCTACAATACCTGCCCAAACCTCCCCTGGCTGAACCATTTGTTTCTATTTTTGTATTTGGTAGAAGGGAAATAGTGAGATGTCCCTGATTCATAGAATCCTTTGCTGATGAAAGAAAAAGTGCTGCTACTACTTCCTTTTGGGGGGGGGGGAACAACGTAAAAAAATTTTTTTCCTCCAATATTAGAAAGGCCATGAAAATGTCTCAATGTGATCACTCCCTGTCATTCAAGAAAAATACTTCCTTTATTTTTAAAAATGCTGCTAATAAGTTTCTGTACTGTAACATTTTCAACTATAAATACTCAGATCAAATTATAAAAATGCTATACAATAATATAAATAGAGTAATACATCAATACAAGAAAAATATATTAAAATAACATATAAAGCTAAAAGGAGAGTCATGCATTTTTCTTTTTTAATACAACCGTATACAAGCTAAAACAGAATAAGAAGGAAAAAAGCAAAAGGCATGAAAGAGGAAACTAAAATTAAAAAAAGAAAAAAGGAAGAAGGAAAATAGAAAAACATAAAGACATAAATTCCAATCTTCTTTACAGCAATTATAAGTATAATCATAGATAAGATCATTTTTTTTCTGTTTAACACAAAAACTCTTTAAGGGTTTTTAGTCAGCAATAAATGTAAATGTTGTTTTTCTCTAATCAAACAGGTCAGTTTAATCATCTCAGCAAGTTCCATCATCTTCATCAACTATTCTCCTATTGTAGGTACAGATAATCCCCGAGTTATGAGCGTTCACTTAACGCTTGTTTGAAATTACATGATCAGTGCCCCCTAGTGTTTATGAACAAGTCCCTTACGAGCGACTTCAAGTGGCACTGCAACATTCACTCTATTTTCTCCACTCCTCACAACTGCTTCCCCCTCGCTTCCTGCCGCACTGGACAAATAGTATTTGAAAGCATCTGAAATTTTGCTACATAGGATAATAATCAGAGCTTTTTCACCAACTCTGAACAATTCTGGTTCATAGTTCAGTTATGAAAAATATATCTCCACATTATTATCAAGATTAAATATGAATTTGTGAATTTAACACTATTTTGTTCATTGACTTTTGATTAATAATAATAATAATAGAGAAGACAGCAACAGACAGTAAGTGCCACCTATGCAAAGAAGCTGAAGAAACAGTGGACTTAACAATTGTTGATAAGAAAGACAAAAAAGTCTGGATAGTGGACGTGGTAGTGCCTGGAGACAGCAGAATAGACGAGAAAGAACTGGAGAAGATAACAAAATACAAAGACCTACAAATAGAAATAGAAAGACTGTGGCAAAAGCAAGCAAGGGTAGTACCAATAGTAACAGGCTCCTTGGGTCAATCCCCAAACAACTGGAGCACCACTTGAACACCATTGGCATTGACAAATTCACTATTAGTTAATTGCAAAAGGCGGCCTTACTAGGAACTGCTTCCATCCTGCGACGATATCTGTAATACCATCAAACATCCACATCTGCCTATCCCAGGTCCTGGGTAAGGACTCGATAGGTAGACAAAATGCCAAATCCAGTCTGAACATCTGGCTGACTGTGCGATGATCCATAATAATAATAATAATAATAATAATAATAATAATAGTAGTAGTAGTAGTAGTAGTAGTAGTAGTAGTAGTAGTAGTAGTAAAGTTGGAAGGGACCTTGGAGGTCATCTAGTCCAACCCCCTGCTCAGGCAGGAAACCTATTCCATTTCGGACAAATAGCTGTCCAGTCTCTTCTTTAAAATTTCCAATGTTGGAGCAATGTATTCAGCTCTGGTTAACTAGTGTGCACTATAGTGTTTACAATTGTATTTTTAATGCTTTTTTGGAATGCTATCTTTCAGATCAAGTATTACATAGAAACTATGTTTAAGACAGAACCATACACATATAATTCACATATTTTGATCCTTTGCCTGAACTACAAAATTATTGTTTATCTGCAGCGTAAAAGGCTCTTTGGAACCATATTCCAAACACTATCAATATAGGAAAAATTATACAGAATTAATTTAACATATATTCTTTTAGAGATAAAGAAAATAAAGAATTATTTTTGGCAGAAGGCCAGCAGA